GCTAGATGGATGTTAGACATCAAATTATAGAACTCAGTGGAATATTGATTAAGTATTTGCATGTTCACAAATCACAATCCAATAAATAGAACGTAATAACCGTATAAGTATTACCTACCTTTTGTATTGTGTAACGTGAATTGTGATTTGGGAATTTAGGGATAAGTGAAAAAAATTAACGGTGGAGATGTTTTGCAGTTGTCTAGGTTTACAGTTACCGAGTAGGATTGTATTTTTTTTTTTTTTTTTAGTATTTTGGGTTGTACTAAAATATATTTTTATATGTATATACTTTTTATGTTTTAGTGCATTTAAATGTGCATCTAATTATATTTTCGGTTATAACGAACGGTCACCGGTCAACGATCTCCGCGAGTCCGCCTAGCTGAACAAAAGTTTTGGATTCGCCTCTGCCTTCTTGTTGAAGGGGCATGAAGATTTACGACAAGATGAACGTCTCATGCATGTTATATTTCATATCTTACTGTACCCTTGTTCTGTTTAGATGGTGGTGCAGTTCTGTTATAACATTATGCAAACAAATGATTTTGCGCTCTTGGCTCAAAACTATGAAAATGATTTCATTTTCTTTCAGAACTATGTATTTGTGTTTTAAATGATATTTCAAATTTGAGTTTTGCATGTCATATTTATGGTCAATTTGATTGATTCGTATTTTTAAATTTTATTTTTATCGTACTGTATAGTTTTGTTCAATATTGCATATTAAATACGCATTTAATGTGATATGCGGAGACAGAAAATCTAGACGAACAAAGAAGTTATTCTCACTTTGTTCATCAAAATAAAAGTATTTTGAGAAAAATGAATATAACAGATTGTTGCGGCCTCCTCTGTCGTCAAATCTGAACCACTTCCTCCTCTTTGGCGAAAATTTCAGATATGGCTAATCGGCATGGTATCCCTGCATGGTTAAACTTACAAGAAAATGTAACAAGTAATTTTTAAAAATAAAATGTTGAATAGATTGAATTGAATTTTTATTGTAAATGCAAAATCTATTCCTATTGTTAATGTAATTGAAATAATTAAATAAATTATTTCATCCACCAAATGAGAAAATAAATAGAAAAAAAATCCTATTCAGCTTCTGGTTTGGATGGTGCCACGTCATGAAGTCAATACATACACGTCCAGGGCCCACCTAGTATAAATCGCCAGTTCTGACGTGACACCAAATGAAGAAACTCTTTTAGTCACACGGTCGCTTGATATAATTGATGAAATTCATCTAGTTTCAATCATTAGATTATAACTATTCCAAAAACAAGTAATAATTACATAAAACAGTATAATCTTAAAAACTGTAATGACTTCTCTTCAGCTCGAAATTGAGCTATTTCTGCACGAAGGCATTAGTTAAAAAGAATCTCAAGCTTCGAAGTTCCAGAATGGTACTTAATAACAGAAGGTCATTATTGGTTATGCATTTTTGTGTTTTATTTATGGGTTTTGTTATTTGTACACCGAGTGTCACCTCACAAAAAGGGGGTCCACATTCAATATAAAATTCGTGAATCCCCTATTGGGGGGGTTGTACGGTGTACATATAGGAGGTGTTTAACACCCATTTTAGTAGAAAAATGTGTTTTTGAATAGTGATTGATGGAAGAATGTGTGGTTAAAAAGTAAGGAGAATTTTTAGATTTATGTGTTATATTATTTTATTGATGGAATGTGTGGTTGAAATAAAAAAAGAGAAAAGAATGAGAATGAGAAAAAAAATGCGTGCCTAACGAGGGCATAGTAAAATCCTATATTTATAATCATATCTGCAGCCTCTTAGTTGAGATCTGCTACAATTACAACGGGGGGGGTTGACAACCCCCCTCACCGGCCCTTCACAGTAGTGGGAGGGCCCACCTTTTTTAAAACAGGTGGGCTCCCCCACTATTGTGAGGGGCCGGTGAAAAGGGTTGTCAATCCCCTCCGGGTACAAATATCAATTCCTCTCTTAGTTTGCATCTTAAGCATTCTGGATTTATTGACTGCCATTGTTACGCAAAAATCTCGCAAGCGTACGAGTTCGTTGTACAAGTAATGATTGTGATGAGTGAGTTGTCGTCCCACGAGGAATAAGGTTTAATTTTAGTGTATTCGATATATTTAAATTCGCAAGTGTAACAAAAGATAGTTGGTTTGAATTTAACTACGTTTAATAACTACGAAATCAATAAAAAAATG